GCACTGTGTCAAATTAAAAACAAATCAGTGTTTGGCTGTGTGAACTCAGCTTGCAGCACAGATTCAAGATTAAACACAAACTGTAAATTATAAACAAGCAACACACTCGTCTGATTCTTTCTGGAGTTTAACTGTTAAATATCTTCCAGTTTGAGTGACCACTAGTTTGTGGGGGGAAACTGCTTTGCTTTGCAGACAGGTCAGCAGGAAATCAATGCAATCCAATAGTTTTGCTGCTGCTTACTTTCATGGTGCATTGTGCAACTCCCTCCGTTGACAGCACCTTCTTGATTACAGTGGTTCTGCTCGAAACTGATGGAGACACAGGCTGGTTTGTGAGGAAGCACCAAGGACCAGAGCTAAGGAGCAACAGAGCTGCTGGCGAGGCTGTGATCTGTCAGTGAAAACTGAGGGTGGTCTCTGGATTCACCCCCTGGACATGAACGTCAAAGGTCACAACAACCCATTGCATGTTTGTTGACTAATGTTGCCTGATGGACTGACCAACACTTCCACCCCCACAAACACAGAGCAGTGAAATCCATATCTAGGCTGTTGTTCAATGGACTGTACTGCGGGGGGAGGGGTTACTGTAACACGCAGACACACACACACACACACACACACACACACACACACACACACACACACATTATGACATAAGGGAGTGTCCTGGTGGTCTGTGAACAAACAGCGTGACCATCTGGCTGACTGCGAATAACACCAACACTGTATACAGTAAAGAAGTAACATTAACAGATCCACCAAGGGACGATCTCTTACTGTCACAACAGCCTCATGTGGCTCGACAGTGTGTGAGAAGGATTCAGCCGCCAACACAGTGAAAAACAGTTTGATAATGTTTTAATACAGCATCATACAAACTGTTAATAATATGACACAAACAAAAAACTCTATCACTGTATGGAAACCCCTCGTCCATCTGACCCGACAGGCTCCTGATCTACTCATCAATAAATGATTCAGTTCAATCAACAGTTCGATCCCCGGCTCCTCCAGTCATGTCAATGTATCTTTAGTCAAGATGCCGAACCCCAAATTGCTCCTGATGGCTGTTCCATCTGTGTGTGAGTGCATGAATGTGACATGTAGTGTAAAAGCGCTTTGCCTGAATTAACAGCTGAGGGAGCTGGACATGCTGATGAGAAGCGGGCTACTGCAGTGGTTTCCAACTGGTGGGTCACCGCCCAAAAGTGGGTTGTGAGTCCATCCTGAATGGACCACAGGTGACACACAGCTCTGGCCGTCACCAATTGGCAGTGCCTGACTCCGCCCAACTCCCGGCCAATCAAAAATGGGCAAAGAGGCGGGCCAAATGAAACCTGGTTGCTTAAACACGCCCACCTCGCTCGAAGCTGCTAAGTTAGCTAAGGCTAACAAGCTACGCTACTTTGGCTAGCCCTGTGGTGTTGGCTGCTCCCGCTTGGTGCCAGCTCCCTCACGAAACAAAATATCCAAAAGGCACAAACACAGCTGAGAGGAGGCTCAATGACTTGCGAATTAGCTGAGATGACACCTAGCAGACAGCCAGCGGCTAGTTAGCCACCCATGATGGCGCCACCTGTCACTCAAAGTGACCACGCCCTTGATTATGTGCAACTTTAAGCCTTAATAAAATTTAAATGGATGAGTTATAAAAAAAATTACAATACAGTTGTCATGAAAGGGGAAGTTAGCTATAGAGACCAGAACCGTTTTTTGCACCAGGCTGTAAACATGTTTATTTCTGCTGTAAAGTTGAGCATTTTAACATGGGGGTCTATGGGGATTGACTCGCTTTTGGAGCCTGCCTCAAGTGGCCATTCAACGAACTGCAGTTTTTGGCACTTCTGCATTGGCTTCACTCGTCATCCCTGGAGGTGGCCGCTTGTCTCCAAGTTAAAAAACGTAGTTTGGTGACATCACCGCGTTATCTGGGGCTCTGTCAGCGAGGGCTCGGTGGAGAAATCTTGTGGTGTGCACACACAGGTCGTGACGCAGTGGGCGAGACTCCCGCTTACAGAAACACACGTCGCCAGGTATCAACACTCAAAAGATTACGATAGTCTCTGCGGCGCAAAATCAGGGTGAAAATCGTGTAATGTGAGCTAGGCTTAACTCATCAGTATGGCCACACACAAGTATGACACTTAATGTATTAAACTGTGTTGACCTTGAACTGATTACTAAAGAGGAATCTGGAGCCTAACCCTGGACTAGTTGGGAACCACTGGACTACTGGAGCAACACATACCTGGAGAAGAGCTGAGAATATAGAATTGACAACAGTTGGCCCAATGGGAGAGGGGACACACAACACACATGGGACCTATGGATGAATTGAAGGCCTGCCCACACTGAGTAGCTGGTAGCTCAGACATCAAGAGGAAGAAACTGCTATCACAGCTGGAACCAGAGAGGGGGACACTGCTGAACACCATGCAGATACTGAGCTGACCCCAGTAGAGAGCAGAGCAGTGTTAATCAACCTGAAGATACCTGAGAGCAAGAATTTCACTGCTACAACTTACTCACTATAATAGTTGTGCATATGATACAAAGAACATGAAAATAAAGGCCGTCTGTGGCTCTGAGGACGCAAATCTTAAGGGACACCTCACAAAGGTATAGTTTCAGCTGTTCACTGTAGTTTTTTATCAAACAAACAGTGCATTTGCTGGGGACTATTTTCAGTCAAAACTAAACTTATCCTTAAAATATTTTTTGGTTGTGTTGTAAATAACTGAGTTGAACAAGCAGCTCCAGTTTTAAATGTTTCCATCATCAGTTTTGCATATTCATCTGTGAACATGTCGGCCTTCAGGGCTGCACCGCCCGCTGTCACACCAGCACCAATCTGCTTTATGGGCTAATTAATATACTAAATGTATAATGAAACAGACACATGAAGCTCGAGTCTAACGACTAAGTGACAAATTTATCAATGAAATCAAGAGCTGAAGCTCATGTGCAGCTGAGACGAAATGAACCATTAGTATGATTTATGTCTCTGTTCAAAGTGCTGTCTGTAACTCTGGAGACGGAGAGTTGAGTCTTGGTTGTCAGGTCGTCAAATACAGATGCTTTGGGTTGGTCGTCGGATTGATGACAATCATATTTGACAATCCAGGAACTCGACTGTCTTTCTCCAGTTACAGCCCTTTGTGGAGGTTCATTGTGACGTAAAGAGGAGATTACACTCTACAACTGGACCACGTTGTCCTCAGCAGAGTGCAGATCTCTGTCAGGCATGTCAAGGGGACCAGATCTGATTGCATTTAGAAAAAAACCCAAAACATTGAATCAAAATTAATGGAATTTAACTCTCTCCGCCACGATGACACACCTGGCACAATGTAGAGACTTAATGATTAAGTGTGTAGAGAAAGAAAAAATAAAAAAACAGACAACATAAACAAAATTAGGATGACCACCTCACAGGTGTATGCCTCCATGAACATGTCAAGTGTCTCTGACAGTCTCCATCCATGTAAGTGAAAACATGGACACTTCACACACAGATCTATACAATCAGCAGTTTGAAGATTAGAGTCACCAATTCAGTATCTGACCAAATGTCTCCCCTTCTGTTCCTGAGATATGACGTTGAAACATGATGATGTCACAGTCAAGCTGACCTTTGACCCTTTGGATATAACATTTTATCCTGTGAGACATTTGTGTGAAATTTTGTCAGAATTAGTTTATGAATTCTTCGGTTACGGTCAAAAACATGTTGTGTGAGGTCACACTGACCTTTCACCACCAAATTCTAATCAGGTCATTGTTGAGTCCAAGTTTGTGCCAAATTTGAATTCCCTCAAGGCGTTCTTGAAATATCGTGTTTCTAAGAATGAGAATCCGAAAACACAATCCCTATTTCCATGAAACACTAATGGTATAGTACCTTTGGAACCAGCAGTAAGCCTTCAGACATGGTACCTAGACCCTCGGTGTGTTCAGACAGTCCTCTTAAATGTGGGCGGGGTTGTTGTCACTCACTGCTCCGTCCAGCACTCGCTGTATTTCCTCATCAGCGGTGACACAGATGGAAGTCTGCACCTGGTTTATCGTCCACAGAACGAGGCTGCACGCCCACATTTTCACAACAAAATAGAACAGGCTGCAGTGAGAGTCTCTCTCCATGGGATATTTAAAAATAGCAGCTTTGTGCATTTAGTCCTTCTCAGGCAAGCTCAGGGGTTTAGTGTTGCTGTAGCCCACAGGAAGTGAGGATTAGAATATATGACCTTCACATAATCCGCTCCAAATTAATCTATATTTTTAAAGTCATTACTAAAAGTGTGTGTCATATAAAAACTAAAGTGATGGTCAAAGTTGTCACAGTGAAATTTAAGGTGTGCTGATGGATTCACGTCATCAACTCATGCATTGAGTAACATTACAAGTTAACGTTCCACCTTAAAAGTTGCCGGCAGTCGGCCCAGTGAATGAAGTTATTTTTTCTCAGACTCCAGCTGCTGTGAGAGGCAGCAAAACATCCTTTCATTTTATAGTTACAGTTTACTAATAAAACTCTCCACAGTATGAACAGTGGTTACATGAGCCTCAAAACCAGACACAACTCAGCCCTGAGCAGAGTGAGCGTCCTCTACTGACCAATCAGACTGCAGTGTTCACAGCTCCACCTTTTAGTACCAGATCTGTGTGCTAGGTACCCCAACAGAGGGGGGACCAAACATGGGGACGCTAAGGAACGCTTCTGTTGGTACCATCCACAACTTTCACTGTGGGAACAGAAAAAATTGGAACTGAACTGAACTGAACTGCTCAGTGGAAACAGGGCTTTAATGCCTCTGGTCATGGCCGTCGGTGCAGAGGCATGATAAGATGCAAAGTTATTAAATTCTTTGAATGTTGAGAAATTCCACAGAGTTTGATTGGCAGCTGGTCAGACAGTTCTCAGGTGGGTGGGGTCGGATGTGTGCGGTGCTGTCATACACAAAATGTCCTGAATGTGACAAATCATCAACACTGACTGGAAGTTCATCATTTTAATCAAAGTTAAAATTCCTCAAAAAAACCTCTTCATGCTTTAAACAAAAATAACACATTGGCTTTTGAATTGTAACTTGATGTGACATGAACTCGTGGTGCCTTCAGGCTCGCCCTCGTCAACTCAGAGAACGACCACATGACCAAATCATGTGTTTCGTTCAGGTGGATATATAAACAAGACTCTGCTGTGGGCTGTGAGCCTCTCACTTGTCTGAGTTGTCAAGGAACGCCTGAATGCACCGTCTGGAGCTGCAGTGAACTCAAACAGCAAGAAATGAAGTTTCACAATAAGTGAAGAGAAGCAACAGAAGCTCTGCGCTCATCTACCAAGCACTGTCAGGATCCTAAAACATATCAGAGCGAACCAACCTGATCCATAAGCAATCTATGAAAATAAATCTACAGCTTTATACAGTTAGTTTCTTATACAAGTGTATAAACCATTCACTTATTTACACTTTAAATGTGTTGTTGTGTCGAAACAGGAAAGTTTTGCTGGTTAATTTGACTGAAAACAGTTTGTTGAATCATTTCTACACACAGAGATGAAAATGTTCAGCTGAGAGAAATATAACTCGTATAACTTGCTGAGAGCTGAGGTCAAAGACTAGCTCATTAAAAAGTTGTTTTAAGAAGCTTCAGACATTTTTTCTTTGTAAAGTCAGAAAGAGACGTTTTTCAAAAACAAATTAAAAGCACTGATAAAAATCTAGAAAAGTAGAAGGATTCACCTAAAACCTGATAAACAAATATCAAAAGACAGAAAAGATATAAAGGCATGAAGTCAGGAGTTACTCAGAGTGAAAGCTGGAACCCATAATGTCTTTAATAAATCATTTATATATCCAGAAGTATGACTGATTATTATGTGTAGACAGACTCTCTCAACACTCTGCTTCAAGGTCAAATTACACCAATCAGCCACAACGTTAAAACCACTGACAGGTGAAGTAACTTCATCAGGTTGCAATATGATGCTCTGCAGGGAATCCCTGGGTCCTGACGTTAATGTCGACGGCACTTGACACACTTCACCCACCCAAACACCTTTACAGACCATGTACAACCCATCACGGTGGTAGCAGTGGCCCCAGCAGGACAATACACAGTGCCACACTGCAAAGCTACCCAGGTTTGGTCCAGGGAACATCACAAAGAGCTCAAGGCCTCCAACTGGCCTCTAATTCCCCAGATCCCAGTCTGACTGAGCATCTGTGGGATGTGGCGGATCCTCAGAGGTCCTGTGTCAGAGGCCTCACTGTATAATCAGACTTGGATCTGACCAGTCGAGGCATGAACACAGGACCTCTGGGTGGTGTCCTGTGGTGCCAGGCAGCAGGGTGCTGGCAGCAGATCCTTTGAGTCCTGTGGGTTGTGAGGTGGAGTACCCTTACATCCCACAGACGCTCAATCAGATTGGGATCTTGGGACTTTGGAGGCCAGGTCGGCACCTTGAGCTCTGTGTCACGTTCCTCGAGCCATTCCAGAGCAGTTTATATGCTGCACTGTTGTGCTGCGGGGCCACTGCCATCAGGGAGTGCTGTTGCCATGAGGGAGTACCTGGGTGGTGCCTGTCAAGAGGCATCCACATGAATGCCAGGACCCAAGGTTTCCCTGCAGAACATTATATTGTAACGAGACAATCAGAGCTATTCACGTTTTGGTCGATTGGTGTTTATTTTCTTTTATTCAGACTAAATTTGGACGACCTGTCACTGCTGCAGAGAAGGGCTGCACAATTAATCAAAGTATTATCCAAATCATAATATGTCTCGGCCTACAAATCATATTCCATACATGAGGGAACACGTTTGTTTGGTGCAGACCTGTGGAGCTAGAACAGTGACAGTAGGTTTTGGCATCAAAAAGGAAACTGTGGCACTGAAAAACAAAACAGAGAAATTGAAAATGATTTCATTTTATTTATTTTTAAATTCATATTTTTGCAGTCTGATGTGTTTTTCAATGACAAGCTACAGATTGTTTTCTTCATGTCACTCTTTTTTCAATGTCACATACTGTCCTTCCTCCTCCCCTCATACTCCTCTGCACTAGCCAAAACAGTGACAAAGTTGAAACTGGAAAAAAAAAACCTGTCATTGTTTAAAAAAAAAAAAAAAAAAAAAAAAAATCAGCGGAAAAGTCACCATAAAACAAGAAAGACAAAAAAACCTGAAAAATGTCATCGAAAAACACATCAGAATGGATTTTCTTTTTCAGTGTCAGATATTATCATCTCAGTTCTAGCTCCAAACCGACTCCAGCAAAAACCCATCATCATCATTTTATATATTTTTTTCGGCAGTGAAAATGAACTGCAACATTATCATAACTGCAATATCTGTCAAAACAATTGCATCATGACTTTAATTGCATTTCATGCAGCCCTGCTGGAGAGGGCAACGATGCGTGCACAGTTATGGATTCCAGCGTTAAAGTTTGTCCTGTATAACGGACCAGTCGCACCAGAACACAGTGAAATTCTGCTGCAAAATTTTTCCCCATTGAATTTAAAGTTATCACAGCGTTTGATAGATTCTCTCCTGGAGTAAATGTGGTGAAAATGCTGCCATGGAACAACATGAAGCCGTCATTACAGAAGAAACCTTTGAGGGAACGGAGAGCCCGAGAGTCGAAAATTAAAGAATCTATTGTAGCTTATTGGCTGTGTTGTACAATACAGTTTTATCAAACCTTCGCTGACTGCGTATAAACTAGAGCTGCAACATATTTTTTTTTACGGTCATTACGATGTCAATGTGCACAATAAACACACCGCTGCACTTTGTAATGTAACCATCATTCTTTTTCCAAATGGTGCCTTTTGTGTTCAGCTCAATGTTGGAAATAATTTTCTTTCATTGATTCAATTAACAATTTGCTGTGTTTTATCCGCACACTGAAAACAGCAGAAAACTGTTTATGTATTGTTATTATGACATTCAGCTTTGTTATATTTTTGCTCAGATCGTGCAGCTCCAGCATGAATAACAGATGTTTATTCAAGCAGCACTGAGACAGGAGTCGATGGAACTAAAACATCTTTTAAATTAACTGTGTGAATGTTTTGTCGCATTAGTGCTAATTAACAAAGCGTTCCTTCTGAGAGCTTTAATTTCCCCTTAATTAACTTTTTATTGAATAAAATGAACACAATGTCCCCGAAGAGTAAACATCCGAGCGCAGAGGAAACAGAGAGAAGCTCAGAGAGATGCTGTGACTGACTCATGTTTAACGGGCAGCGTGTTAGTGATCACAAAGCTTTGAGAACTTTGTATGTTGCAAAGGTGCGTGTGTGAATTTTGCTGTTGTGACCAGAACTTAAAATGTTTTTTTCTTTCTTTTTTACTTATAAATGGAGACAGTACAATTACAAAATTTCTGCCTTAAGAAACGAACTCTCATATCTGAAAATAAATTTATCCAAATCCTCCGGATGTGTTTGTAGGCTGTTACATTTTGATGTCGTCACACAGCGAGAGTTTGTCAGTTTGGATGGCTGCAAGAAAATGATGTTCAGTCTAGAGCTGCAAAGATTACAGATGACATCTGAAAATGCCAGGCTGGCCACCAGGCATCAGCTCTTGGTTGCCAAAACTGAAAATATGGTAGCCATTTATTAGCCACTTTATATTTTAGGGGAGTTAAAAAATTAATTATTAATGAATAAAAGCTTTTATTACAGTAAACCAAACTAAATTCTCTCCAGTCTGTGTTTTATCTTATACTCTCTTTTTTGTTCTTGTTATAAAGTGGTTGACACTGATGCCAAGAACTGACTGAATGGTTACCAATGGAAACCTGGCAAGTTCGTCAGTCAATCAATTATTCAACTAATGGAAAATTAATCTGCAACTATTGATAATCAATTATTTGTTTAAATAATTTTTCAAGCAAAAATTTCCAGGTTTTCAAATGCAACATAACGAGAAGTCACTGAAGTCACTTGAGATTCTAGGATATTGAAACACACTTTTCTCGCTGTTTTCCAATGTTTCATAGACCAAACGATCAATCAATTAAGAAAATGATCTACAGATTAATCAGTAAAAACACATCATAATTTGTTGCAGCCATATTTCAGTCTAAACTGTAAACCTTGTCTGATGCAAATGACGACACGCAGTTCACTTCAGTCATCCAAACAGACAAAAGCCACTGTGTCACGACAACATGGATGAAAACAGCTGATCAGAAACCAAATCCAAATCAATCAATCAATAATCACATCTGTCGTCACCCTGTGGTTGGACATCTGAAATGTTTTGGTACCTTTGTGAAATTTAACAGAAGAAAAATCACCTGTTCAGTCACTTGCTAAAAAAACATCCTCGTCCCCTTCATGCTGCAGTGCAGCTCTTCTCCACTGGAGGGGGCTCTGTCCTGTGAGAGCGAGGAAACAAACCACACACTCAAGAGTGTCGACTCGCTCTACGACTCACTCTCCGCTGTCTAGTCATGTGCTAGCCCCGTCAGTCAGTCTGCTCCTGCTGGCTAGCAGAGACTTGCAGGGTCAAAGGTCAGGGGTCAGAGTTAAGGGAGTGAGAAGTGTCAGCGCCAGACCGCCAGGTGTCTCACAGTGCACAGGTCACACAGCAGCCGCCTGATTCGCTGTTTGAGCTGAGGGAGGCGGGACAAAGGGTCTGGAGGCTCAAGCTCACCCGAGTGGTCCAACCAGGACTCTAACACTGCGGAGAGAAACAGACATGTGGTTAAACAACATACGATTCTCATTAGTTAGCTGATACAGAGAACAGATCTGATTTTTCTTTTCTGATTTAAAATCTGTTTTCATGGCTGTTAGCAACAAACCGTTCAAGTGGAAATGGCCAATGAAACACGTTCAAACCAGGGACGCCAATTAAATAAATTGACCTTTACCTCAAGACACATCAGCAATAAGGAGTCCCTCCAGGAATTTGCGATCGCAACAATTAATGCAAATTCAACCAATCTCTCAATTTTGACCAGCCTCCCGTGAGTTCAGCCAATCATAGCAGTCCCCCGCGCAAACATTATGGACGTACATCACCGAATTTACTTCCTTGTTAATGGTATGAAGATGCAAACGTGCGATTCAAGGCCGTGCAAGACAGTTCCCTGATGTTCTTCACGAAAGCGGAGGTAAACTGTTTTACACAACGTGCAGTACTGGGCTGGAACACAAACGGAAATCATCAATTGAAAAACACTTTCAGCAAATTTTATCACAACAAATATGCTGAAAACTTCGCAGCTTTCATCGCAATTAAAAAAAACAAAACAAAAAAAAAAACAAATCCTGGAGGCACTGACTCAGTACAATACTGATAAAAACTGACTGTTCTGTTCCATTCTGTACAACAGCTGAGTTGGTGACGTCACCCCACACACAGCCTCACTTATCATAAAAACATCAGCCAGAATAACGTCACAAAAATTTAAAGGTCCAGTCCTTAAGATTCAGGGGGATTTAGTCCCGTCTAGCAGTGAGGATTTCAGAGAACAACCAGATGAAACTTCTCCTGGTTGGAGTTCCTTCAGCGTTTTTTGTTCAGGAGGTTTTTACCAGGAGCAGAATGATCCACAGAGGTCTAACCCTCTAATTCAAATCAGTAAAAACACCAAATAAAGCAGCTTCATGTTAAAAAAAATCAGTGTCTCTATGACAATGTTTGGCATGTCAGAGCCGGCGGCTTGCCCACCACACACTGATGTGTGCTCAACTTTATTCTCTGATTACCGCAGATCCAGATGTTCAGCAGGTTTTTACCAGGAGCTGAATGATCCACAGAGGTCTCATCATCTTCCAAACAAACAGACCTGGTGTATGTCCTTAGACCTTCAGCTCTGTTGAGGTGAGCCAGTCCAGTGTTTCATCGTCCAGGTCAATTCGACCATGATCGGCATTCATGGGGAGATGAAGACAGCCTTCACATGGCCTCCCCTGCAAGTGGCTAAAGAGTAGTTGCAAGGTTGCATGCTCCTTAAGCAAGACCAATGTCTTCACAACGTTCACAGCTCACAGTGCTCGAAACACGGCGGTGCAACACTGCGACCTCCATAAATAAGGACTCCCTCCCTGTGTAGATATAAACGGCTCATTCTATCCATCCATGCATCCTGGGGGCAGCAGGCCGAGCAAAGCACCCCAGACATCCCACTCCTCAGCAACACTTTCCAGCTCCTCCTGGAGGACCCAGAGGTGTTCCCAGGCCAGATGAGATATGTAATCCCTCCAGCGTGTTCTGGGTCTGTCCCGGGGCCTCCTACCAGTGGGACGTGCATGAAACACCTCTGACAGGAGGCGACCAGGAGGATCCCTATCAAATGTTGAACCACCTCATCTGACCTCTTTTAATGTGAAGGAGCAGCGGCTCTACTCTGAGCTCCCTCTGGAAGTCTGAGCTCCTCCCCCTATCTCTAAAGTTGAGCCCAGACACCCCACAGAGGAAACTCATTTCCACCGCTTGTATCTCATTCTTTCAGTCACTACCCAGAGCTCATGATTATAGGTGAGGGCTGGGACGTAGATGGACCAGTAAATCGAAAGCTTTGCCTTCTGCCTCAGCTCCTGTCTCCTGTACTGTGCCCTCATCACTGCTGACGCTGCGCCAAACCACAGATCCATCTCACGCTCCATTCTACCCTCACTCGTGAACGAGACCTTGGCATACTTGAACTCCTTCCCTTGGGGCAGCAACTGTGACACAACCCAGAGGGGGCAATCCACCGTTTTCCGACAGACAACTACGGCCTCAGATTTGGAGGTGCTGACTCTCGTCCTGATCGCTTCACACTCAGCTGCAAACTGCCCAAGTGGACGCTGGAGGTCACAGCTCATGCACAAGTAATGAAAACACGATTCTTATTTTCAGGTGATTATGTACTAAAAAAAAGAAACTATATTCATTACATTAAATTCAATTTCTGGCAACATATCCCATAAATCCTACGCAGTGGACCTTTAAATCTCTTTATATTAACACCATTGTGAGATGTGTTGTTTGCAGTTATGAATCCAAAGATCCCCTCAGTTCTTCACAGCTTTTAAACATTTTCCAGATTATTTTCATGTTTGTTTTGACAACTTCACTGTTTTGATTCACAATCGCTGTCGTTCCAGCAGCAGCTGTTACCAGCAGACAAGCTGTGATAAAGCCGCTGTGCTCACTACATGCTGGACAGCAAACAGCAGACAGACACAGTTAGAAAGTGGCTGGTGAACACAGTGAACATTTAGCAGCTGAAGAGACAGAAATATCCCTCAGGAGTTGGTGGAGACCAAAAACAGAGCTAAAAGGAAGAGAACATTGGACTGATGTTCATCAGGTGGCTGCTCTCTTTGCCATTAATTCAAAACTTCAGTCACATCTGGCTGAATCAGGTCAGTGTCGGCATCAATACTAATTCAGCAGATAGAGCAGTGCAACCCTAAACTCTACGAGGCCAGAATATGTCCGTGTTGTGTTTTCAGCCTGTTTCACCGCCTGCAGTGTGTGTGTGTGTGTGTGCTTTTTAGACAGGTTTGTGTAAATAAATGTGTGTTACCGTCCAGCTCTCGCTCTATCATGTCCATCCTGGTGCTGATCTGGTGGTGCAGAGACTCCACGTGCTCCAGCAGGTTCAGCTGACACTCGGCCTCAGATGCCACACGGGGCTCCGCTGTGTGTGTCATAGCGTGTTCCCGGCTGTCTGCGTGTGTGTGGTTCTCTCTTTTTATGCTAATTGTGTCTGTGTGCGTGACAGTGTTTGTATCTGCGGTGGCATCGGCTGGTTTCTTGTCAACATCTTCTGGCTTTATTTCCTGCAAGAACAGAAACAGAGTTACGGATTTATCAAGTCAAACATGGCCACCAGCCACCGACTAATAAACTTGTAAACGTAAAGTTCCTGAAACACCAAGCCAACAGTCAGCTGTCTGTCAATGTTGTGCCGTCGGTAAGCGTCTGTTGCCCTAGTTGGTGTGGTGTGTCCTGTACTGTTGCCCCATGTTGGCCCCTGTCAGCTTTTTGGTATTGTTTGGGCTGATTCAGCGTGTTGAAATGGCATCAGTGATGGTGGAGTGACTCAAATCAATATGGCAGTTCAGCTCAGCACATGAGAAGAGAAACGGAAGTGAGGAATGTAAACAAAAAGCTAAGGTGAAGAGGAAGTGACAACAAAACAAACTTGTTACATGAGGCATTATGTTTCTTACCCCACTGAGCTCTTAACAAAACGTTTCCTGATGGTTTGTGTTATTGTTCACTGGCACAAGGTAAATATGTTCTGTTCTTTCAACATTAGGTCGTGTCGATAATGTGCTAACTGGCTAACTGACCACCGTCTGCTGGTGTGGAGAGTTATTTCCTCTCACACAGGGGCAGAATGTACGTGCTGGTTGGCTGTCAGCTGTAGTCTTTGAAGTGTGTTTATGTGCAACTTCAGGTGACGCAACAATCCGCTTTTATTGCCACTAGTTCTGTAAAATCGGTTTGGTGTGTCCGGGCCTTAACAAGAGAAGGGTATTTAAGATATGACAGTGGGATGTCTGAACGCAGAGGATTAGTGTTTAAAGCTATAAAAACAAGTGTATCAAGAGAAAGAAGTGATATTTTACATGACGACACAATGAGTCCTCTGAAGCTCTCTCCACAGCCCTCACACTCACACAGCACCAGCAGTAAAAATAGTCCCACATTTACGAGAATGAGCCCAGAGCCTCAAACTGGTTTTCAGTGGTCTCATAGCAACAGCAGGATCCTGCTTAGTGCTGCTTCTGCTAAAGGTCTGTGAGACAAGCGTTGTTTTTGTTTTTTTAATTTTACACCACACCTACTGACTTCATGCATCCTTCCCGTCCCTGACTTCACCTGTGGCTGACATAAACTGCCAAATCACACGTTTTTCATTGAGATGATTTATGCAGACACATTAAGTGAAGATGAAGCAATTAAAAAACATCTGAAAAGGACTTTGATTAGTAAGACTTCCAGCACTTTGTGGATTTCTTTGCAATGCATCTGGACCGTGTGGACAGGGGCATGGACAGATGACAACTTGAAGATACTGTTTCTGTTATTGTTTCTACCTCCTGGACACCTATTTCTGCACCTCTGCTTCTCCGGCAAAGCAAATCGTTACTGTGAGGGGCAGATAGAGGGAGCTACGGTAACCCAGCAGGTACAGAAGAGGCGATGTGCAGCAAGTTAATTTTCACAGGAAACATTAAAAATAACAGTAAATAAAAATAACTCATAGAGATAAAATTCACAAATGATGAATCAAATTTATGAATATAGTTCAGCAACAAGAAATAAGTACAGCGTTAGCTTGCTTATTATATTATGTGAACGTCACTGTCACACTGAATGCCCCCTTAATCTGCGTTCAAACTCTCCAACTCATGGTAAAAAAAAAACAGAGCTGTTGAAATATTCGTATTGTGCAGCCAAACCAGCGGGAGATATTCTCGTCCGCTCAGCTCATGGGACCTTTTGGCCCATCTATTAGCCAGAAAGCTAACGTTATGCTAGCAAAATTCAGTCATAACATTACATAAGGTTGACAAACAGTAAATATAATGTGACAGTATGTTTAACAACAAGACGAGCTAGCTATCAGCCATGACCAAACAATTAGCCATGTGTAACGTTACTGTCGGCCGCAGCTTGAGGTAAAGAGTTGAATAGCCGACGGGATGTGAAATGATGGCTTAAGTTCAAAAGGGACAGTGTGGTACCTTCAGACTTAGTGGGTGTCCATTATAAGTTTATTAGGGACACCCTGCAGCCAATCAGAATCGATAATTCACCCAGACCGTGGTATAAAGTTCAGTAAAGAAAGATGTGTCTGAGGTCATTTAGAAACAGTTTGTTCGCCACAGAGCAGCAGGTGAAGATGAGAGTATGTGAGGACAGTACAAAACAGAGGAGGCAAAAGATGAGCGGTAATGATGTCACAAACTGTCTTATAAAAGTATAAAGAATTTAACTTTATTAATATGACTGTTGAGTTTCTACCTCCTGCTCGGTGTCCTGCTCCTGCTTCACTGCAGCTGTCTGCCTTTCCTCTGCTTTTTCCCATGATGCTCCAGGCTTCTGGTAGCAGTGCTCGCTGCTGATGTAACAGGCGGGAGGCTCTCCTCTCGGGCTGGACGTCAATCTCGGCCCTTCCTCTCGTCTCCATGGCAACCTCCACAGCTGCAGATCCGGGTGGGACGGAGAGCTGCACGGACGGACAGGACGGACAAACAGACTGAATGTTCGTCTCCGTGGACTGAAACAGACAAAGCGAGTCACGTGACGCAACTGTACTCACTGTAACAGGCTGAATTTGAGCTGCAGCCCGCTGAGGACCTGGTTGAGGCCGTGTGTGTGCGCCAGCAGGCTGCTGGTGTGTGAGATCTTGGAGGCGTTGATCTCCGAGTAGTTCTCCTTCACGCACGACAGGCCGAACATGTGACCAGATATCAGCAAATCAGGTTCTGACAGGAAACGCTGAGCCCGCCTCCAACCTGAACAGATGATGACAGGATGACAGAAGACACACACACACACACACACACACACACACACACTCACACTATCTAAATTAACAGAAGCACTTTCACTAGATGTTTCGGAACATTGTGCGTTCCTGCCCTCACATGCACAGGAGTTGCTGAGCTTGTGGCAACAAGCAGCATCTGCATCAACTCCTGTGAAGTACAACCATACTTGCTGCTCTTTCCGCCACTGTCACTGAGAGCAGGGCCTCTGTGTGTGTGTGTTACACAGTTGGTGCTTCTCAAAGTCAATGAAGGATCTTTAAATAGCTGAATTTTAAGGAGGCGATGTCAGCGAATCCCGCCGAAGAACTGTTCCAATCTCAAGGATTCTTTGAATTCTAGCACGGACAGAGTCCTTCCTTCAGGGAATGTTCAAGGATGCATGTGTGTATCCTTAAGCCTAGTTCACATTACATGATTTTCACCGCAATTTTGACATCGCAGAGGATCTTGAGAGCCACCTTGGGTCGGAGGTGAGTTGGCGGATAGTCTGACACGACGAGTCCTCATGTGTGAACAAGCCTACGAGCAAGTCGCCCCCTCGTCTGTGACTGGGACTGGATATCTGGCATGCTAGAAAACTGGAGAAGTGTGAGGCGGGATACGTCCCACATCAGCACGCAGGAGGATGGAAAAAATGTGAGGAGGACAAGCCGCAGGGTTGCCAGGTCTGCTTATTAGCTGCAACTTTGGGCTTGTTTCTAAAGTGGAGTTGCTTATTTGGGCTTGCTCTCTAAACGTCGCCTTTCTCTATATATATCCATCGCTTCTTTTGGGCTTGTTTCCATAGCCCTGGTTGCTTGTTTCTCTCCCAAGATCTGGCAACACTGACAAGCCGGCAACAACAACAATGGTGGCGTCCACAGGATCACGGGGAGCACGTTGTGTTTGGACCCAGGCCCTGGAGGCAGATCTAATTCAACACTGGGAAGAATATCCATGCCTTTACCATGTGTCGTCTCCAAGTTTGGTGACGTCACTGCTAAGGATAGACCAATACATCAGCCGGCCGATATATCGGGCCGATATTTGAGTTTTTTTTACCTGTATCGGCATCGGCCGATACGCGCGTGGGTTCGCAGATTTATTTTTCCCTGGCATGATTTACAGACAGGCATCCACGGGCAGCTCTGTGTTGCTGGAAGACCCTGCAGCGCACATGCAGCGAATCCTACTGTGTACAGTAGTTGTTTTATTTATGCTTCAGCTTAAATATTTGTTTATTTTATAAAGACATTACTGGAAGATTTAAGAGCACTGAACTCTTTTTTTTATTTGAATGTATGATAATAATAACAATAATAATAATAATGATAATGATAATAATATTCTACCTGTTCTACCTCAACTTTCCATCTTGTTTTAGTATTTTTTACTGTTCAATAAATGTTTCTTATTTTAAACTTGATACCTGTAATATTTGTTATCATTGTGTCATTTTTTTTATGTAAATTGAGGGAGCAAAAGCAGTATCGGCCCCAAATATCGGCTCAAGAAAATCGGCAGTCCATAATCGGTCATCGGCTAAGGGTGATGGAAAAAAAATCGGTATCGGCATCGGCCCTAAAAAAATCCATATCGGTCTATCCCTAGTCACTGCGTTATCTGGGGCTCTGTCTGCGAGGGCTCAGTGGGGAAATCTTGTGGTGTGCACACACAGGTCGTTGACAGAAACACACGTCACCAGGTATCAACACTCAAAAGATTACGATAGTCTCCGCGATGCAAAATCAGGGTGAAAATCGTGTAATGTGAACTAAAGTACCCACAATTCTTTAAGCAGGATTGCCAGAATTAAAGGTGGAGCCTTTCCAATGATGCACACCTGGGCGCTCGTTAGCCAGTTCCAATGTGTGCTCACTTGTTCTTCCTTGCTAGACCTTTTCTCTGAGCACAGTCAGACCAGATTTCACTTCTCATTAATTTAATTTTCATTCACATCTGGTCCTCAGTCGCTTCTTTAGTTTTATGTTCGAGTCAGTGCCTGAAAGGGGCTGGTCCCCACTCATATGGAGTACCGGCACTTCTGATATTTGTCCCTTAATTTCTATTGTGAACTGCTGTTGTTGTTCTTCATCACATATAATACCAAACAAATACAGGCCTGGAGTTTAATTTACAAAAAAATGCCCAGTTATAATTCAACTTGGAATCATCATTAAGAAATGATTTTACTCAAACCAACCAGACCCTCACGTGATTATTACATGATTAAATGTGCAGGTCTGCTCACACACAGTAAGAGCTCCTACCTGCAGTGTGTCTGCAGTAGTAGCAGGTGTAGTTGTGTGGGACGTTGTCTTCATATAAACCCATACAGGTGCCATGCTGCCAACACAGACACGACTCGCACTGCGGACAAACAGACGAGACAGGAAGGTTTAAAATCACTGTAATGTGTGTTAGAGATCATTTCACAATGTGCACAGGCAGGAGGAATGATTACAGCTGACCATAACTGCTTCAGTGTGTATTTGGACATGTGAGCTGTGTTTCAGACTCAAATCTGTTCTTTAAAGATAAAAAGCTGCAGTTATAAAAGTTTCTTTCAGTGTTATTATCTGCTCCTGTTTGACTCTGTGTGTGTGTGTGTGTGTGTGTGTGTGTGTGTGTCTCACCTGGATCATGAAGTCGTTCTCCTCGTCCACCTCGCACACACACCTCACCACCTCACACTCCTCTGTCTCCATAGCAACAGGCCAATAGGGCGTGTCCTCCCCGCTCTCTGCCGTCAGCGTCGACCAGTCGCTGCCATCATCGTCGGCTGAAAGGGAGCCGTGCTGAGGTTAGAGACGAGCCACCAGCAGCTCACAACTAGAGGAACACTTCACCCACAAAATGACTGTTGTAATCGTAGCAAAACTGCATGTGTTTGGGAAGCACTGATCATATGACTGAATAAATGAGACTTGGATTAAACTGAACGAGTTGTGCGAGAGTTTGTTGACAGATGTTTTGATATAGTTTTTAAATGTGGTCCCCGTTTATTTCAATTCAACAACATTATCTACATTTTTGGATTCTTCGTTCACCGTACAGGTTTGCAAGAAAAACATTTTCTTTACAAATTCAGCGTAGCGCAGTGAGTAACTGACGTACAAATGATCATTATGTGGGTGACGTACTGCTTTAAAATCTAAACTTTTCGCATTAATAACAATGACTATGCAGTTTTTGTGATGTTGGCGTGAGTGTGTGTGTGTGTGTGTGTGTGTTTGCACCTTGTGTGTGTATGCTCTGGTGGCCAGTGGACAGCTTCAGAGTGATCGGAGGTCGGTCTAAATTCTCATCATCGCTGCTGCCAAGTCCTAACAAAGAAAGAAACAGTACAATATAAGTACTCACACAAACACATCGTCATTATTCTAATACTCTGAATACCTCTAAAAACACACAGCACATCCACCCCTCTGACCAATTGCAAGCAGCCCACCGATTGGTTCACACAGTTGTCAATCATGTTGTAAAATCCCCTTTGAGAGCATTAAATAACAAATTAAAACCTTGACACTTGAACAAACAGCAGCATGACCTTAAATGACAGAAAACCAGAAACCATGTCTGGGAAAAATTTATTTGATTTGTACTTTAAGTTTTTAATTTTGCTTTTAGGTGGACTTTATAACCTATAATGCAGCCAGCCACCAGGGGGCAGTCCAGATGTTTCAGCTTCACTTTTGGGGAGCTGTCATGTCGTCCATCTTTACATACAGTCTATGGTTGACACACACCATTGCATTGCCTCCATAGATTCGCCTCCTCTTGCTCATTCAGTGCTGTCTTATTGTCACTGGTCTCATTCGCTCTGGTTGCATAGTGATCTTTACAGAATGGTTTTCTTTTGTACTTGCACTTACTGTATTTTGAGTGTGTGACAATTTCAGAGGCTTGTTAACAAATGAACCAAGAAGAATATTGTTTTCAATAACATAAAATACTTTTAATTATTGTTAACGTTTACTACAGTCATTCTGTTGTTCTCTGCTACTAACAAGAAAACTCTTTTAATAAGCATTAATAAACATTTTAAATCGTACGTCCCCAATGCCAATTTTTACCCGTGATATTGAAAATGATTCTATTGTAACAAAGTTACACGCTACATTGGACCGTTGATTCTTCTCTGTCCTGACTCCTCCTTGCTGCAAGTTTCCAGCAGTGTAGACACACAAGTCTAATGTCTCTGTTTTGCAACTGACAGAAAAACCATGTCCACATCAATAAGGGGAAGTGATAAGCTTGAAGGTGTACAACTCAGATGGACTGGACAACTTAGAACCGGCTCTCGATTCCCATCATGCGCTACAATCTGTATCAAAATTTGTACTCTGAGTCATGAACAGTCAAACCTGTGTGGTGTCTTTAATTTGTTTATTTTGGCCTCAGTTATCCTTTCTGTACAGCAGGCTGCACAAACTTAAGCTGACATGGAATTGTGACAGGGAAACATTTGGATTTTAAACTCCATGTGGGTTTCTCCTCCAATTTTTTGCCCTTCCTCATCCGTGTAATTAGAAAATCTTGGAAGTGCACATTCAGGTAAATGTGTCTGTCTGATAGTGTGATGTCACTTTTGGCCATGTGAACACTCACAGCCCTCGCAGGTGTGTCAAGCATAAATCAAGCATGAGTTGGACCAACTATCCAAACACATATTAGACACATTCCTATCAGAGGTGTTTTCTTGATATTCGTTGCAGCCTGAAACACATTTACAGCTCATTTATGATCAATGTGGTGACAGATGCTTTGTGGCTGTACTGTGCAGGTGTTACTGACTGCACCCAGCACACAGCCTTGTCTTTATTTCTGGAGTGCCTGCAAAGAATTGTGACGTTTGTTTTTTTTTAAGAAGCTACGACTTGTGTAATTGATTAAAACCGACCGACTCCTTCTGAAGGACGTGGCCAGTGAACGAGAGTATTCACGAGGACTCTACGCCGACTCTCACCTGACTGACTTTTCTTCTTCTTCTTCTTCTTTTTCTTCTTCTTTAGTTTGACTCTCAGGAAGTTCTTCATCCTCTCCTTTCTGTCCTGTTCTCCTGTGTTCTCCCTCTCTCCTTCCTTCTTCACTTCTGCTGACAGTCAGGTGAGAGAGAACGTCACGTCATCGGCTGAACTTCAAATAAACTTCTTAATGTTGCACTTAAAATATCTTAAATTTAACCACATTTTAACGCTGCTCTGTTTAACATTTAAACTCAGAGTGAAGGTCAGACATCATTGGTTGATCGTGTCTCTGTGTGTACCTGCATGATGCACAGCTGTCCTACCTGTTCCCACGGTGCTGTGCTCTCTGTCGTCATGGTGACAGGTGCTGCTCTGGTCCTCACTCTTGCTGTCTGACATGAAGTCGCTCCCTTTAGAAGACGACCGCACCCTCCTACAACAACACCAGTCAGCGTTAAACACAGCTGTCCTTGTGCTAACTTTCTGCTCTGGAAATTGAACCATCGACCCACCTCTGCGCCTCCTGCTCGCCGCCTCGCTCGTCCAGCTGCTGGTCTGTGTGGTAGTACTTGATGTGGTAGTGCAGCAGACTCGCCTTCCTGAATGACTTGGTGCAGCCGGCTGCGGGACACTTGAAGGGGTTGTGGTCCAACTCGATGGAGAGAATGGGAGGGGGCTGGTTCTTTATCACCCTGTACACTGAGAGAGGAGAGAAGGGAGGTTCAGACGAGTGTTTGGAGTTTCAAAATATTGCTGTCATATGCACAATTACAGAGCAGCTGTAGTTGGAAATACATTTCTCAGATCTCAGACTCACTCAAAGAATGCTCATTAGATATGTATAAAAAGAAAATCATGCATGAAAAATAGAAAATCTAAGACATAAAAAGGGCAGAAATTAAAATATAGGCATTAAATATAATGTATACTGGTGGTAGACAGGTGTAATGTAACTGCAAAAAGAACTGTAATGTAAACAGGAATGGAGTTAATTTAATGTGTAATGAGAATTAATAAATATACACGAGTCAAAAAATTCAACCATTGACAGGTGAACATTTACAATGCAGTGTTCTGCTGGGAAACCTTGGGACCTCGCATTCAGGACGCCACTTCATGTGAAATATCCTGAGCTAAATGACCCACAATCCCGTCATTATAAAGACAATGGCTGAAAAGATACTCCCTGGCGATTCACAGCTCTGGAGATCGACTCTTCAGGTGAGAAATCAAGTTTAATTAGTGGCTGTCCACACGTGATTTTAAGGTAACGCAAAGGTGGAGGACGTACAGGTCTGTCAGTTAAAGTAGTCATAACTCTGTGTCACATGAGGTGCCACGCCGCGGCCTTTTGTAAACAGATGTTTTGATGCAGTTTTGCCTACTTGAAGAATTTTCCCCGTTTTTTAATCTTTGTTCAGCGTGGAGGCTTTCCAGGAAAACAACATTTTGTTCACAAATTCAATGTAACATGGGGGGATTATTTGATATACAAAGGGTCACTTGGGGGGTGAAGTATTCCTATAGGCCTTAAGTTACATTTACAACTGTAGCGTGAACATGTCGTGTCTGTGTTCATGTAGTGCCGAACATTTTGTACAGTTTGTGTGGTGTGTGAGTGCACTCACATGGCTCTCTGCTGAATTTGTGTGTGGTGGGCAGGTGGGCCTGACGCTCCAACAGGACATCTGAGGAAGACAGAGACGAAACAACAGAGAGAGCGTGCTGTTATAAAAACTTTAAAAAAAATTACATTTGCCAACAAGCCATTAGTGCAGTTATGTCATGATATTATTTTACATGGATAGGAAAAATCTCTCCTTGAGATAGTTCATTGCTATGGATAATGTTTGTCACTTTTAATGAAATAATAAGTCCAATCATTTTTGTATATTTGACTTTTGTAAAGACCTGCAGGCTACAATCTAAACAACGGTTGGATCACGACAGACTTAAACTGCAGTAGTGACTTGACTCAACCTACATTCTTTCTAATGACCGGCAGGACACAACTCCACTGGTTGTAAAAAGAAGTCTGATTGTATATACGTGAGGAAATGACTTGTTTGGTTACATAAGTAAATATTTTCATAATGAGATTATAGTGTCACTAGTTTCAAGTGTTATTCAATACGGGGTGATGTTCATGTTATAAATCATCGTCCCATTTAGAGGAAAATAAACCATGAAGCAGAGGATGCTTTGGGGGCGTGGCTATCTTGTGATCTACAGATCGCTACCATGGCGACCTGTCAAGCAGGATAGAAGAACAACAGCCCCTTTACACTGCGCCTTCAAGGCAAGAATTTCACGCACCAACGTCTTTATAAAAGAGACAGCAGGCAGGACGGGATCATGGGTGGCAGGGGTGTCACATTTTGACAACGTGTTGTGTGTGCACCGCACCACAGGTGATTAAAAAAGTAGGTGGTAGCAGTTAGCAGCTAACTCCGAGAAGGAGAAAAGTGGTCGAAAATGTCCGCAAATTGGGAAAACAACGAGGTCCAAGAGCTCCTTACTCTCCGAGCACAGGACGAGATCAGCTGCCATATAACAGGGACACTAAATCATCATGTGATGTCATTGTCATCATTTATAAAGCGCTTCTGATGTGTAGGTTATACGTCATATTAGAGGCTGATGCTGTTGAGCTACACATCACATCTCTTTTGCTTCTCAGATGCCACCATACTGTCTAAAATCACATACTGGAGTGGCATGATGCCGCCATTGTTTAGCTTTGTGTAAAAATGCAAAGGCAGTGTAAAGACGGGACTTCATAGCGACTCTGCAGCGCAATCTCTGTCTAAGATGTGCTTTATCTTCTTCAGTCTCTCCAATTTTCTTACGTTAATGAAGTGGAGAGTCACACAGCCTTTAATTAAGTGCACATTTTTCGGTGAAGTTTAAACATTTTGAACTTATTCATCTAATCATGTCCGTGTATTGACTCAACGAAATCTGCTTCACATTCTGAACGTAACCTCATTAACAGTCATGTTACCGCCAATATGGAAATTATGCTGCAGAAATGTCTGGAATTCTCTGATGTTTACCTCTGTCGATGTGGGCTGGGTTAGGCAGAGCCCGCTGGGTGGGGTCAGCTGTGATTGGCTGATTCTGAGCTCCACTGTTTCTACCTGGGAAGAGAGGAGTTCATCAGCATTAGCAACATGACTGAAGACAATGAAAACCTTAACGGATCCACCTCACCTACAGATCTGCTCTGCGTTACCAGATCATGTAACTTACTGTCATCTGTTTTCTTCTTAGCTGGTGAATGGGAGGATGAAGGTTCTCCCTTCCTCTTCCTCTCCTCCTCTCTCTCCTCAGTCCATTCTTTCTCCTCTGACGTCCCCTTCTCCTCCATGTCCTCCTTCCTCTTCTTCTCCTCCTCCTCCTCCTCTTCCTCCTCTCTCTGTCCACCATCCTCCTCCTCCTCGCTCTCCCCTTCCTCCCATCCCTCGCTTCCCACTGCACTCTTCTCAGATCTGGACTTCTGTGTCACCACACACACACAAACACACATGTAAGATAAACTGAGTTGTGACTGGTGAAGCCAATCAGATGAGGACCAATAGGAGTGTAGTATTTCTTACTCTTTGGAAGGGTTTGATCTTTGTGGGCTTCACAGTCCGAACCACACCATCAAAGAAACGCACCGTGTAGGAGTCTGACAGAGACAGAGACAGAGAGAGAGACACCAGGTTTAGTAGTTGGTAGCAGTTCTTAAACATTTGATCCAGTTCAGTACTGACATGATAACAGCACTGTGATCTGCTGTACGTCAAGTTTCAAGTCTCCAGTTCCCAAGAGTCCAAGTCATTTAATCAGCCGTGCAAAGATCTGTCTCTTTTCATTTATCCCCTAAAAACTACTTTAATTTTCTTTTGCAGCCTAAAGATAACAGAAATCTAATGTGTCAAGAGGACCTCCACGCCACGTGAACATATAAAAACATAAATTGGACCATGACAGAGTTAATAGGAATGCAAAGTCGACTACTAACAGCAGTTAAAGTCGGGGTTCCCACACATTTTTCACAATGAATTTTTAAAACTTCTCCAATATATATGACCCTGTTTCTATGACTTAAATTAAGTAGTTTAAAATGAGTAGGCCTATAAACACGCACTTTCAGGCATATGCAGATAAGCAAACCACTAGCGCTTGTTATCTTTCCCTGTGAGTTAGACATTCCTGCCACCAACTAGCTGCATATGCAAATAGACCACACCGGAACATACTGGTACTTCGCACCTTTCTTGGGAGACAGACCCAGTCAACGGTCACGCAGAGCAACACATTTTAAATTAGTAATACAATGTATTTTACGTAACATTAGACATGTTGTGATTTTCATGAACATATTTTAAACAACTTTCCCAAAACATTCTGTTGACTCTAAACCACTTCCAGGCCCGGAAAACAGTTTTCTGATCTGATAACTTCACTAGACAGTGGGAACGCTGTTAAGTTCTCCTACATGACTCAGACTGGACAAGAATCAGGTTTCAGGCGGAGTTTGGGGCCTTTTTGTTGCATAAAGCGTCAAGCTTGGTTTGGATGTTATCTGTTAACCTCATTCAGTGTAAAGTCACGTTAAAAAAAACATTTTCCTTTATCACTTAATCTATTGATTTTGTTTTTAGATTATCTCTAAGAATAAAAAACAATAGAAAAATGAAAAACCTCAGAAATCAGATGAAAATTATAGAATAAAAAATAAAACAAGTATAAAAACAGTTGCTGATTATTTTCCATGAACTGACTAATAATTTAATCGCCCAATCATTTCAATGTGCAGTAACGTAACATCAATCAATCAATCAATCAATCAATTTTGTTTATAAAGCCCAATATCACAAATCACAATTTGCCTCACAGGGCTTTACAGCATACGACATCCCTCTGTCCTTTGGACCCTCACAGCTGATCAGGAAAAACTCCCCAAAAAAACCTTTAACGGGGAAAAAAAACGGTAGAAACCTCAGGAAGAGCAACTGAGGAGGGATCCCTCTTCCAGGACGGACAGACATGCAATGGATGTCGTACAGAACAGATCAACATGATAAATTAACAGTAATCCGTATGACACAATGAGAGAGAGAGAGAGAGAGAGAGAGAGAGAGAGAGAGAGAGAGAGATGCAGATAATAACAGTAGCTTACAACAACATTATTGAAAGTAATAATATTATAGTTATAGTTCTGGCTACTGTGGTACAATATGTTGAAAGTATGTAGTAATATCTGACAGTATACTTGCGTGACAATAGTCATATGTGTATAATAACAGTAGAAGTATGACTAATGAAAACATGGGGTGTAAAAGTTGAGCCTCACCGTCCTTGTTGACTCTGAGGATTTTGGCCGGGTAGAAACGACAGTCTGTCCAACAGGCCAGAACCTTTGTACCTGAAACAAACATCTGAGACAGAGACAGAAAAATAAAGTCCAGCACAAACACCACAACATGCACATACATACACACTCTTCTTATATTTTATGTCGTCAGCCCTTTTTATTCAGAGATAGTGCTATAGAGCCGCTATAAAGTCCCTGCTGTCTCACGAGGGGTGTGATGGGCGTGACATGTAACACAACAGCGTTGACCTCTAGTGTGAAATATAACATACGCACCAACAGCACTTTGAGATCATTTAGCGTCCCTGTTATATGGCAGCTGATCTCGTCCTCTGCTCAGAGGGTAAGGAGCTCCACACCTTATTGTTTCCCCTATTTGTGGACATTTTCCTCTACTGTTCCTTTTCTTTGAGTTAGCTGCTGACTGCTACTTTTTAAATCTCCCGCAGTGGCTTGCACACATAACACATCGTCAAAACCTCATGGCTGTGCCACCGTGATCCCGTCCTGACGGCTGTCCTGTTTATACAGACATTTGTTTTGGCGTGACAACGAGGTTTCCTCATTCTGCTATCATACCTTTCATAAAGAACAGTGAGGGCAAACAGGCAGTGTAAAAGGGGCTAATGAAAACCTTTTGACAATTTCAGTCGTAACCAAAAGTGTTAATCTCACACACACACACACACACACACACACACACACACACAGAGTCTGTGTCATACCGGCTGTGAACATGGTGGATTCAGACCCTGCCTCCTCAGGCTGACTCGCTCCAGCGGCCGCAGGTACGGTGAGCCCCAGTGAAACCATTCGTTATGTCGCCGGCTCCACTGACGGTAGTGGACCTGGATCCGCTCTTTGTCGTAGTCGATTTTCTCGATCGTGGCTGCGTACCTGACAGGACACGACATAATGCAAGATTTAAAAATGTCATCGCGTATTCATATCTTACATTATGTGTGTGCGCATGTGTGTGTGTATGTATGTGGTCCACACCAGTTCTTGTGGCGGTCTCGGGCTTCTAGCTGAGCTCCAACCTCAAAGGTGATCCCTGACCTGTCCGGGGGAGTCTTCATCTGGCAGAAACAGAGACAAAAAAAATACCCAAGAAAAGTTAAACTGAATAATGAATTATTTGTAACATGTTTTCTGTCTTATTGCAAAGAAATACAGTTAAATATCCAGGTAACTTTTGTACATACATTTAACACACTGTAGCGTTTATTCTGCAGTTAGTGGGGAGACATGTACATTTTAAAAATAATCACTCTGTCAGTTTGTTTGAGGCTGAACCAGTTTGGCTGATCAAGAGCTGAAGCGTCTGGTTTCACTCTGTTTAAAAGTGAGCATGAATCTGTCAAACATGCTAACTATGCCAGCAAAGTAGAGAACTGTGTAAACTTTGCATTCTTTGTGACATTTTTTTTCCAAAGATGTGCAGATTAAAGAACAGCATAACCATCTTGGTGAATTCCACAAATTCCATGGACAAACTCCCACTGAGTCTGAACGTGTCAAGACTCGTCATAATCCACAATTCACCAAAGTCAAAATGGGTCAAAAACATGCTTTTAGCTGACATGAAAATGAGTAGCAAAGCTGACATTTGCATTTGATTAATGCCATTGTTTCATCTTGTTTCTACTGAATATTAAAGTTTTCATCACGCAGGAGTATCCCAGGCATTTTTCCTATAATCTCTCAAAGCTGAAAATTATAAAACGGATCATAAAAAGGCCAGTGTTTCATTGTACATAATTCAAATTCAAATGCCAAGATTAATATTTGTAACCTAACTTTCAAGTTTAAGTTGCACATTGTCAGCTTATTTAAATTCAAAGTCAATCTATTTTTTATTTCATTATTATTATGGCACTTGTATGCTTAGAATAGACTATTTTTTATTTCACTTTGGCAACAATGCATTTTAAACTTCATGTGCATGCAGAGTGGAATTTGAGTTTCCATTTTATTAAATTATTTCTTTTTGTCATTGCTTCATATTCACCAACATAAGGTGCACTATTATTTTACATGACACACATTACTACTTTTCAACATCATGCGCAATATTACTTTTCAGTATCATGATCACTTGCCTGTGTAGTGCAATATGATTTTCTCATGTGCAACACTAATTCTCATTGTCAAATCACATACAATATAACATTGATCTTCAGGCGCAGTCTGTATTTTCCACCATTTTAGTTCATTTTTAATAACTCTCATATTTATCTTACTCCTGTTGTTACTCTATTAGGCACTGGTTTTTGCTTTTGCTCCTTGAAAACACTTTATATCCTGTATATTTTTAATATTTTGACTGATATTTAACACTCTATTGTTTTTAAAACTGGGTCCAGTGAGTGACCCTGACCTGGGGAACATGCTGGACCCAATTTTAAAAACAATAGTGTTAATTGTTGTTACAGTATTTGTGTTACTGTAATTTGAAGCATCCTCTGGCACAAGTATTTCCTTCAGAATAAATAAAGTTCTGTTGAATTAAAAGCACTTTACCTTACTTTCTACATTTCATGCCACTTCATACTTGTACTCTTCTACATCTCAGAGGTAAATATTGTGCTTTTTACTGCGCTACATTTGTCTGACAGCTTCAGTTACTCTTCAGATGACAGTTTTTTATCCCCTTCCTGTCCAGTGAAAACCAAGAGAGATGTGTTGAAGTTGAATGTTTGTGATAAACTGAAGGATGAAGTGTTCCTTTATGTGCTGAGAAATGCTTATGCTTCGTGAACTCTTTCAAAACCCTCTTGGATCAGCTGGAAAAGTCGTCACAAAGCTGAAACCTGGCTGTGTTTAGGACTTTTTAGAGGACGTGTCCCCCCAATTTCTGAAAAACACAAATTGTGCCCCCCAATTCTAAACAGCCTAAATGATTGAAATTGAACAAATGTATTTTCTGACTCCACATTCCCAATTCTAAAATAAATTATGTGATAAGGACAAAATAGGCACATTTTGTTATAAGAACATTTATTCCTATAAATATGGTTTGGTTACATAAATGACTGCATATGAATTTGTGATTTTGTTGGGTTAACTTGTCTAGTTGTCCTACTCAATGAGACTTTCTTACATGTTGTGCAAAATGGCAGATGAAAACAAACAAGGCACCTAACTGTAATGTGATGTGATAAGGACAAAATAGGCACATTTTGTTACTGGGATATTTACTCCTATAAAGATGATTAGTGAATGGATATGAATTTATTTAAATAAATCTGATTTTGTTGGGTCAACTTGTGTAACTTCTAAGTATTTATTGTGCTCTCAGAACTGTACTAACACTAGCATTTCTGGCTCTGTAAAAACATGATCAGTTAGTTTAACCAAGCTCAGTTAGGGGCTCATGTTCTGACAATCACCCATATCCACTGATGCATACAGTAGTCCTATATACTGGGAGAAAGGGAAGATGATGAGGGGAATTAAGAATCTGTGAGAGGCGAGAGATGAGAACGTGAGTGGACAGAACATGCCTGAGACCCTGAAACTAGAAGTAGCATTAACTAACAGCGAAGCAGTGAAAAGGAGGGTGATGGTTGGCTCCATGTGCTATTGGCTGTTTAAGAGAAATACACAGTAAAGGTAACCATATGATTCTCTCTGTAGTGCTTTTTGAATGACTTGGTGATGGTGATGAGCCTCTATGAAATCGTGAAATATGCTGGCAATCTCAAGCGCTCTGCGGGCATGATTTGCACGTGTGCAATTAAAAAAAAATTGTGTCCCCCTCAAACTTGTCATCAGATCTGCACCCATGCTCACAGGACAGCCAAGCTACACACTTATGATGAGCTTACAGACCATGATGCATTGCTGTAGATTAAACTATACAACAGTATATAACGGAGTTAAAATGAGCACGACCTTAAACATTTCCAGCAGTAAAATGACACATACATATTAATGGCATCACACATTTTGCAGATTATATAATTTGACCTCAGCACAGTTTTAAATGCAGAACTTTTACTTGTAGGAGTATATTCAGTGTAATATTACCTGCACCATGCATCATCTTTCTCATATTTGCTACAACCATTTCACTGTATATTGTATATATTTCAGATTGTCTACTTTACTATTTTATTATGTATTTTATTTTATTGTCTACTTTAATATTTTATTTTATTTATTTCATTGTCTATTTTAGTATCTTATTTATATCTTCATCTTTATCTCTTGTTTCCATTCATGCTGTATTTCTATTTCTACTTTGCACGGAGCATTGGAACAAAAACAATTTCCCCCCGGGGATTAATAAAGTATTCTGAATCTGAATCTGAATCTGAATCTGAATGAATATTCAACACCCTGTATTGATTTCAACCAAAGGCGCGCGACCTGTGACAGCTGTTCCATGATGACGTCGCGAGCGCGCGCATCGGCTTACTTCTGTATCTTACTGTAAAACGTTTTCAAACATTGTGGTAGAAGCGTAGAAATAAAGTGACAGAGGCAGCCATATTTTAATTTGATAACAAAGTTAAAACTATACAAGAGTTATGTCATTCAGTTTGTACGCTACGTCTACTCAAAGTTACGTGATGACAGGACGTAAGAAGTAACGGTTACAGCCAGACTTCTTAGATTAGTTTATCATTAATAATCATGCCTGTAACGATAATCTGAATTAGATCAGATGTACGCACTGAAACGTCAAACTGAAGCAGCGTTTAATCATTTATAGAAACTATTTTTTGACATTTCTAATCTTTTAACTTCCTCTGTAGACGAAGCTGATTGGCTCACAGGCCTCTGGGACGCCCGTTCTGAATTCTCATTGGCCGTACGTGCTGGCAGTCAAACGAGGAGCCCCGCCCCTCGGTAGCCACTCAAATATTTGACAGTGGCTGGCTAAAATGCTAATGCTAACCTCTGTTAGCTCCAAAGAGCAGCAAGAAATGACAAGAAGACGAAACGCAAAATGCTTCAAAATCATAACTTCGTGAACTCCACCTGCTCTGGAGAGGAGACGACGCCATGTTTGAAGTTGTTCATTAAGCTCATCCAGTTAAACAGTGTCAGTAGTTCTCCTCTCCATTGACTGGGACCAGATAAGCTAACACGGCTAACGTTAGCCTCTGCTCAGTCACACAGACTGCAGCGAGTTTAATGTCGCCCGCTGAGCTGTCATGGATGCAGACACCTTCATGAAACTCTCTCCGCTGTATAAACGTGATTGTGAGCAATAAATGTGTAAATGAGAATCACAAAATCTTGTTTACCTCTCGCGCTACTTGTGCACTGCACTCTTCTTCATACTGTGATGGCCGCAGAGCGCATGTGCGACGGGAGACGTTCAGCTGGTTTGTGTTTATCCGTCTGAACCACTGGAGGCTTGTGTTCAGAGATTCATGGAGCACCAATGTCAAAATAAAACTCTATGCAACCAAAAATGCTTGTAAGAGTTTTTAACAGAGTTCAGGCTGTTGTAATATTATGCATCATTGCATCCTATATTATTATTAATATTATGATAACCATACTGTAACATATAGGGTTGCAATTGTAGGAGATTTTATGGTATGGTATCAGAGAATATTGTGGTTTCTCGGTACCACGGTTTTACCAAGTTATTATTTTGTCAAAATTACCCATAAAGAAATGAAACCAGAGGGGTTAGTTTTGGTTAAACAAATGTTTCATTGCTATAACTGAAACTTGAAACCATTTATTTCATATGAAATTTTGTGTAAAAAGTAAAATAGAGTTGAGATTGACCGCTGCAACCCCTCTTGAAATATGTTTTTCCAATGGAAGTTTGTGTAAAAGGTCCCCCTTTTGAAAATGACTAAAAGTTGAGAGTCTCCGTCTCGTCCACAGTATCATAACCATCAATTTTAGTGTCACGGTATACCTTAAAAGCAGTATACCACTGAAATCTGGGTATCAAACTATACCAAGTGTTGGGAAGATTACTTTTAAAATGTAATAGGTTACATATTACAAGTTACCTTGTTAAAATCTATTAAGTTACTATTTCAATAACTTAATCAAATAATGAAACGTATTACATTTAATTACGTTTTTAATAAATGTTTTAAAGTGGCCAATAAAGCTAAAAATTCCTAAAAACATAACTGCATTAAAGTTGCGCTCAAATTTGCAGAAATATGCCAAATAAACTTTAAATCTTTTTACCAAAACGTGGATGTAACCAATTTGTAAACACCAAAATGTTGTTAAGTAACTTTAATTAAACTACAGAAGTTTTCATAGTAAGTGTAAGAGATTACAGTTATTTATTGTGAAATTCAATCACGTAATTTTGTGTGTTCAACCCCAGTTCCAAAAAAAGCTTAGACGCTGTGTAAAATGCAAACAGAATGCAGTTATTTGCGAATCCTTTTGACCCTTATCTAATTGAAGACAAGATATTTAATGTTCAAACTGATAAACTTTATTGTTTCTTGTAAATACACACATATTCTGAATTTGATGCCTGCAACGTGTTCCAAAAAAGTTGGGACAGGAGCAACAAAAGACTGGGAAAGTTGTGAAATGCTCAAAAAACACCTGTTTGACACATTCAGCAGGTAAACAGGTATCAAATGACCTGCTTAAAGAGTGTAAGAGTGAAACTGTGAGATGCAGTACAAACTTAGGTTTAGTAAACTATGTAAATGTACTATCTTGTTTACACATACACAGTATTTATAGTCATGTTAAGATGTTCAGGTATCAGGCATGGCCACTAGTCGGTGCTGTTCAGGCAGCTGGGAGCTCTTGTGGTTGGTGAAAAGGAGAGACAGGAGGAGTGCTGCAGAGAGTGAAGCGTGGAGAGGGATTGAGCAGGTGTATGGCTGAACGGATCTGTGTTCAGACTTCACTAAAGCTGTGAGGAAAACCAAGAGCATGTTGGACTGTTTTATTTGGGTGCCTGCTGTGCATCAGCAAGGCAAATATATATTATCCATCATCTTGTTCTCATGTCTGACACTGTGACACAGCTGTGCACAGACATGAGATCCAGAATTTTGTCCAGTGGTGAGATAAACATTTTCTCATCATAAACATCAATAAAACATCTGACCCCAGATCTATTGGAGACCATTCACCAGTGGTTATCCATGACCAAAACATAGCCCAGGTTGAATCATACAAATACCTGAACATAGACATCAACCATAAACTGACATGGAGTGTTCAGGTAGATAAGGTCTGCACTAGGGTCCAACAGCGCCTACACTTCCTCCGCAGGCTGAGGGTCTTTGGAGTCAGCCACAAAGTGTTGCTCCTCTTGTACCATGCCGTAGTTGAGAGCATCCTGCAGTATGGCATCTCAGCCTGGTTTCACAACCCCAGTGTACAATTAAAAGCTCAGATCACCAGGCTTATGCAGAGAGCCATGGAAATCATGGGATTCAGTTGCCACACTGCAGTATATCTTTGAGCAAACCATTATCAGACAGGCCCAAGAGATTATCTCAGACCCCACCCATGTCCTCCATCATAAGTACCAACTTCTCCCACGAGGCAGATGCTTTAGAGTTCCCCAGTGCAGCTTAACCGCTTAAAAAAGAGCACAGTCTCACTCTGAAGTAGTCGAAATCGCGACAAGGGCAAGTGACTTGCGGCAGCAGAAACCAACAAAATAGGCAAACAAAAAAAGGGTCGTCCTTTCACATCAGCATGACCTGTTGTCGTATAGTTTAATGACACCCAGTGGCGTCAGGGGTAAACACGCCGGGACAAGGACGAAAGTTAAGGTGGTGAAAGTCCGAGCGTGGCAGGCAGGAGGGGTGGTGGATGGGTCCAACAACCACCACCTTTCACCAGAGATAGCGATGCTCGTGAAGCCAAACCCTGTTCTTTTCTCCTAAACCCAACCACGTGTTTTTCGTTGAAGGAAAAATATGTCATATTGTGGTGCTTTAGCAACATGGTGCATTTATTTTAAGAGATTGTATGTAAATGTTAAATTTCTTGTGAAAACAGAAGTTTATCTTGAAAGACGATATGTAGACATTTATGATCGTGGATGATGAATCCTTCTGACTTTAATGATCACCTGACTTTTCCACGAGCTCCACCACCAAGAACCAAAAAATGTCCTCTCAAGTATATTGTCCCCAAAACAACAGTAAGAATCATTTCTTCACTTCATCTTGGGGTTTACAGTCATTCATCTGCTCATGTCCATCATTAGTGTAAAGAGGAAGGAAGCCAGATTATTATCTTTCAAACATAACTGTACCAACCAGAGAGAACACGCACTGGCTTCAAAGACCACATCCTCATTTTATAATGGAGACATATTCATTATTGACACACAGTATTTCTCATTTACCCGTGGATCTAACAAAGACGTGAGGAGCAGCTATGAGTTTGTTTGTTTTTCCTAAATATTTTTCTATTTCTTATTTAACCGTAAAAATACAAAATAAAAACGTACAGCTCTAAAACAAGCAATATAAAACACAAAGTAAGATTTCTACAAAGAAAAGGCAAAAAGCAATGTATACTGGAAGTGAACCATAAAAACGCAAAAGGAGCAACTGCACATAATTACAAAGACCAGCTAAGTTATACCATGATACTGGCATATAGGAGATTGTGTACAAAGATGATGCAGCAGTGGGGAACCAATGAGTGCAACTTTAAGACCCTCTGCAGAAGATTCCACATGCTGCAGACATAAATGCCCTGTGCGTTCCCTCGGTACAGACGATAAAAACATGTTCTGAGAACAGAGAGCTTGGCCATTTTCACTTTTTTGGTTAATGTACACTCATAAATATGCTGTTAGTAAGCTAAGAACAGCTTTGTAAACAAGAGAATGGCAATGAAAAAGTCCACGAAATTTTAAAGACAGCCGCCCAACCCAAGCGTACAGGATACAGTGATGAGTTCAGGGCATGCAAACACTGGGAGGGTGCATTCTTATGTGACACATTCCCATCGTCAAGCACAGTCAAGAATGTGGTTCTGTTGGCCTCATCACACCGTGACCTCCAGCATGAAATTGTGAAGCCAAGTGTGAAGCTATCAGGATTTAAGTCAGTGCCTCCAAATCTGAGGTCATGGTTCTCTGGTGGATTGCCCCCTCTGAGTTGGGGGAGAGTTACTGCCTCAAGTGAGGGAGATCAAGTACCTCGGGGTCTTGTTCACGAGTGAGGGTCGAGTGGAGCTTGAGACGGATCATCAGTTTGGTGCGGCTTCTGCACTGATGTTGGCGCTGCGTGGTGAAGAGGGAGCTAAGCCAGAAGGCGAATCTCTCGAGTTACTGGTCCATCTACGTCCCAACCCTCACCTACGGTCATGAGCTCTGGGTAGTGACTGAAAGAATGAGATCGCGGATACAAGCAGTGGAAATGAGTTTCCTCCGTGGGGTGTCTGGGCTCAGCCTTAGAGATAGGGTGAGGAGCTCGGACATCCAGAGGGAGCTCGGAGTAGAGCCGCTGCTCCTTCGCATCAAAAGGAGTCAGGACCGGGGCAGACTGGGACACAAATTCAGCCTGGGACATTCAGGCGCACCAGCCCACACATTTCTACCTATAATCCTCTATATGCTCGTACACACGACACAAACGCTGTCCTCAGAATCAACTGCATCAGAAAATCAGCAGTTATTGTTTAATTCCAGACTATAAAATAAATGCAATAATGAATTGGCCACAAATGGCAATGTGCTTGTTATTTAACTTTAAATAGGAGCCTATGACTCTATCCTAATGCATCTCATTTTATGCACAATATAATTGTCTGCCCAGCCCAGTTTACATCTCCATGGCTCACAGCCATGAACTAAGGAGGTATAAATTGGGCAATAGGCCCTATAGTCAACTTTTAGTCAACTTATTACTACAACAAAAATAATCCCACTTAGTACTACTAAAAAGGTTCACATTGCACCTGTCATATTTCTGGTCTCATCCTCCTCCTCATCACGACTGGTGTTAGTCTGTCCCTCAGCTTCACGGTCCTTGGGACTGGGAGCACCACCTCACGTTAACTGCATGATGCATCCACAGGAAAAAAGCAAGCACATATTTTCTTTTAGTACAGGTTTAAATTATAATGACTTAATGCAATACCTAGTAGGCTAGCTGGCCTCTTGAAACAGACACCTAGAAGAAATATGCAATTTGCCAAAGCCAACCTTCCACATTACACACTCACGAACGTAAGCTAACGTTTACACACCTGCTATAATGGCACTGTCGGCTCTGTCGTTAGCAACACCAGCAGCCTCAGCCCATCAACCAACGCCCCGGCCAAACAGGTCGGTTATCTTGGAGCCCTTTGCTGCCTCTTCTTGTAAAGATTTAAAGCTGCAGTAGGTAGAAAGC